AAGATATATAATTGGGTTTATATATTTAAAAAATCAAGACATTTCTGTGTAAGAGCGCACTTTTCTATGTTGCACAACAAAGATATAACGTCACACAAGCCAAAAAACCAAACACCCATAATAAACACTGTACGTCACAACAGTTCTCCATGTGTTGTATCATACCGTTGGTAAATCTTGCTTTCTGAGCACTTCCTATTGGTATATTCATGTCGTGCCATTTGTACTAAACCCGGATGTATCGAACAGATTAAAAATGTATCAGAATTTTTTTTTTTAAGAAAGATGAAAATAATTCGTGCATGTGTGTCAAATATATTACAAAAAAGGATAGAAAATCGGAAATTAAAATGATGATGACGTAGAGAAAGAAATATCAAATGTTTAGAAAAAATGGATTGCGTAATTCCCAAGAACACAAGAACACTCGAGCTGTACGGACAGGATATTATACAACTGAACTCTAAATAGGATGAATATCTTTTATTGTAAACTATGCAGTAGCCGTCATTCTTCATACCGTAGTAATAGTCATCGTCATGTGGGCGAATTGGCCTCGTGCTGTACCTTTTTTGCTAGGTCTGCATGTGTAAGTGTATGTCTTTAGGTGCATGTGTATTACACTTTGTGATAAAACATAACTGTCCCTAAGTCACAATTTCACCTCCATCTCCACCTCTCCTCTTCTCATCTCTACTCTTTTCCCACGTCGTGCACATCCTGCAAAAATACCATCGTTAACATTGAAGGCCTATAAGCTTCCATCTTACTGGTTATCAACATGTCTAATCGACGAGAATTGGTCTTCGCCTGTAGTTTATACGTGTTACACTGTCCCACACTCTTTCTCATGCCCTTGCAATAACTCTTCTGCTCAATACACTGTGAAATTTGAGAGTGTATAATATTATTGTAAAAAACAAAAGTATTTGACCATGATATTAATATGGTTATTCATAGGGTTATGAATGCCATCTGATTTTGGCATTGATGAAAAGTACCATTACCATACAATTAAAGAATCTGAAAAAATTACCAAAAACACATAATCATAAAGCTGTTTCGTCCTTTTAGGACTTGTCAGTAGTTCAAGGGGCCTAAATGTTGATATCTTGAAGACGACGGAGGAAAATCCAAAGTAGCTGGAAGAAATGTCAAAATCTAGATAGGGGAGGTGTACTAGCCCCACAATCTGGCGCATCCGTAATGTTGATAGGGGAGGTGTACTAGCCCCACAATCTGGCGCATCCGTAATGTTGATAGGGGAGGTGTACTAGCCCCACAATCTGGCGCATCCGTAATGTTGATAGGGGAGGTGTACTAGCCCCACAATCTGGCGCATCCGTAATGTTGATAGGGGAGGTGTACTAGCCCCACAATCTGGCGCATCCGTAATGTTGATAGGGGAGGTGTACTAGCCCCACAATCTGGCACATTTCATAATGTTCATACGGCTGATACTTTCAGAAGAACGTCAAGTACATTTGTATATTCCGAACCGTTAAATAAAGACCTCTCTGAAGGAACTGTTGACCTAAAGACATTGTTACCCTATGGTGATGACACTATGTTTCAACTTGTTGGGCGATCAGAGGTCACAATATGGAGCTCAGTTTCGTCTGTACAAGTCATTTACACATTTTTTTTCATACACTATTAAGTTCTCACTTCTAAAGCATCTTGTCCCATAAACCATTACCATTGTGCTATACTGAATTTCAGATTTCACAGATTCTATCCTTTTCAGAATCGGATATATATATATTACAGTAATCTTGTAAACAGTCAGGAATGTTAAAGCGTAATTGATTTACATTATAATATAACGTGTAAAAGCAATTAGTTGTCTACTCCAAGATTCCGTCTAACAATATACAAATCACACTGTACATACTTATGATGTTAGCGTCGATAATAACGAACATTCCAGACTAATGCTTCAATACCATGTCGATCTATAAATAGAACATCACTCAATCAGAGCTCGTGCATGTCCGTACATAGCTCAACATTTTTTTCAGTAACAAAATATGGTACTAATGATAATAACTTGAGCCAATAGCTTAATAGAAATGATCCTTGTGGAAACGTTACTGGGGATTAAGTGGTAAGACACACTGATATTATATACAAAGGTGTTTATGTGTTTTTTATTTCTTTACAGACGATCAGTCACTGTGGAAATCGTGATAACTATTCACGTTTACTATCACTTAAAACACTTTGAAAGAATAATCCTATCAACTTCCTATTCATTTATGTATAAATTAAGTACATATGTTTTCATCGTAACATAAACATTATACAGATTCTATGAAATCCGTTGTATGGCATAAAATTTTCAAGATCATAATAATGAAATAAGTAAGTAGAAGCTACTTATTATAAACATCCAGAAACCGTAACTTAAAGCTGAAACATTACGAGTGAAAAAGCCGCTCAAAAATCAAAATAAAAAAATAAAAACAGACCCAAAGCACATTGAATATAGTAATTACACAATTGTTCTATCATGATGAAGTGTTGAGAGAACTAGGTACGGTAAAGCGCCTGTCCTTGTATCAATCATGGTAACGCTTTGGTAGCTGTTTACTCGGATCATCGCCAGTGACCGGCACGATTTTCCCAATTCACTACTTTAGACAGCTTGAGCTGTTATTTCACGGTCTGCTTTAAATCATTAAACCCATATTTTTTCATGTGTATATTCATGATAGAACTGTCAAGAAATACAAGGTGTCAGATCAATGATCACAAGCGACATAATTCGAAGCTTTAGGAAATGTTTTGTATTTAGTGTGTTTTCGATTTTTACCCATTGTCAATTGACTTGGTATTACACTTTATAAAATACAATGTAGATACTCTCGATGTTTTGTCTTAATTTCATTTTACTGTTTCATGTTATAAGGTCATTATTATAACAATATTGTTGTTATATTTTCTAAAAATGAAGTATTTACCTGTGTGTGTACCAGACATTCACATCCTCACATTTCCCAGTTAGAGTATAACCATTTACAAATCTTGCGTTATGTTTCAGTGTGAACTCTGTCGTCCGTATCGTGGATAAAAAGGGCGTACATATTTACAAATACACTTTCTCATTTGTTAGTAATTAGTCACTGGTGAAATAGTAATGTGTCGGGGTAACAGTGAAGGATTATAATAAAGAAGGTTTTTCTTTTTGAGGATGAATTTAAATCACAAAAAATAAATAAATAAATAAATGAAATGAAAACAGAATGGACAGATAATATGATGATACGCTTAATGATTCCAATGAAAAAAAAAGTTTCAATCTTTTGATAAAATAGCTGAATTTTTTTAATAATAAGATAAACTTTACAGCATGCTATTTTGAGTCAAAAGCATACAAGATACATTTTTTTACCTAAAACAATATGAAATATATTTTATCAAAATATAAACAATTATATCGTATATCCTTACCTTCTGTGTAAATAAGCATGTACTTACTTCTTATATTTCTTTCCAAAGAGATTGATTAAATATTAAGACATATGTATGTATGTATGTATGTATGTACAGGATGTTCATTATTACATTTCGTTTTCATTCACATGTATTGTAGCTGTCTTCACACATGAAAGTCATTAATTATTTTTCGGCGTGCTATTGTAAATGTTTCCAGTATTTTCATTAATTAAATATCATGAGAATACCTATACAACATAATACTACATAATTTGATTCTCATCCCAATCAAACCGCTGATGCGGATGTCTGCTTTCATGATTGTTTCAGTAGGCAAAGCCGGAAATAACCTTGAATGAAAACTATGTATGCTATGTCAAATTTATTTCATAACAAGTTTTACCCCTTCAGGAATGTTTTCTTTATAATCGAGAAATCTTGTTATGTACATTCTTACTTTAGCGTTTTTTCCCTTTTTTATTTCCCTACATAAACACCCTGTTTAAATCTAGAACATTTAAAACTTACATACAACATTAGTTTACCTACTGAAGCACTTGTATATAACCGCACACGTAATTAGGTCTTTTGCCATGATCGTACGTAATCACATAATCACGTTCTTCAGCTTCTTCCTGAATTCAATTATGTTTAAATGTTTTATAGAAAGTATCATCACAACACCTGTCTGCTGTCATTTCATTAGACAATGTGATGGTACAGTTGATGCACGTATTATAACACTATCTTGTATGATTAGGTCACGTTTTTATGACGTCATATGATTTTAGTTGAAAAAACGTACTGTCCGAGTCGAAATAAGTTCTAAAAGGAAATTTCTTTGAGAGTTTTCGTTTATTATTATGCGTTTTGAGTCTATGTTACAATATCTATATAATGTGTTATATGGAATTTAAACATAAGACACACAAGAGAAATGAAAGTCACTCGTGATAAATATCGTAAATATTGGTTGAATGTAAGTCACACACAAATAAATATAAGTCACAAAAGACATGCAAAATAAATTAAAGTCAAATATAACAATTCGAAGTCAAGCACAAAATAAATGAAAGTCACGCATGATAAATGGAAGTCACACACGATAATAAATGGAAGTCACACACGATAATAAATGTAAGTCACACACGAAAATAAATGTAAGTCACACACGAAAATAAATGTAAGTCACACACGATACATAGAAGTTCCATTCAAGATAAATTGAAGTCACACATGATAAATGGAAGATTTAGAGGTATGATAGAACAAGGATCGAGACTAAGGAAAGTAAAATAATATGATTGTTTCCTATGATATATTTTCTTAACTAATTTCCATAAAAATGGTACGGTCCGCTTCGCGCTCCTCCAATCATCTACATAGCGGTACATACCATCATCACAAAACATAGGGGAGGAGAGAGAGAAACAGTTTGTAAAGTTTCGAAAGCCTAACTGGCGAAGTGTCAGGTTTCGGTGCAATTCTCGCTATCTCGCCACTACTGTTGTGCCTACAGCGGTTGTCTATAAAAGGTAAGCGGTGCTAAGGTCGCTCACGAAAGCGAGAACTTTCGGGATTTGTGTATGTCTCGTCCACTGGTTCTGTGAATACTAGGCTCCGAGGTTAGCGCAGCAAGAGAGTAAGGATTTCCTCGTCGCAGTGGTATGTACAACTGGTGGCTTTTTGGCTTTTATCTTTTCTTGTTTTCTACTTAAATTGTTTATTTTGCTTTGCTTTATGTTATTTGTGGAGGTAAAATTTATTTGAATGTTATATTTCAACATCTTCTCAATTATTAATTTTTTTTTTTTGTAATTAGCAAAAACCCTTTTCATACATTGTGTATATTTCTCATCCTCAATTCACATTTTACATTCACTATCTTATGAAGAACGTTAAATCTGCATTTAATGTCGATGTTACAGTCATGCGCGAGCATCAATGAAGGGGATTTTGTTTTATTTACTTGATGGTTGTGGTTGCATTATGCGGAAAAACTCGCATATATGCCAAAGCAGATAGTTTTTGTTTCTTTTTACTGTGCCAATATAGGTATGAACTGATATAACGATTTACATCACCAAATTCATATTGTAATTTCTGGTGAAACCTATAAATTCTTAACACTTTGTAAACTTTTACAAGAATATGAATATGTAATTAAGCAGTTAAGTAGTTTTTATTCAGGAACTTATATTTTGAAGAAGAAAAAAAACGAAGATAAATATGTAAGTTTCAGTGAAATGAGATATGGGTGTTAATCTATGTATATGATTATCTCTATAATTAACGATGTAACTGTAAGAAGAAAAATGCAATACCGTAACTGTATGTTGGCAAGTCGCTTTGGAATGCGGAAGTCACTGTGGGGTGAAGGTTAGTCTACACAGATAATTCGTACAGTAGTTGCAGTAGTTGGACATTTGGTTATAATTAGACAAAGCCTTAGAGACATCATAATACACAATCATTGTCTGTTTGTATCTATTTTGGGCACTTCCGTGTTTGTCGCCAGCTAAAGTACATATATATCGACATAGTCCCAGTATGCTTCATTAACATTATGCTACATCAGATGTCAGACGTAATGCATTTGATGGAAGGCAGGACACCCCACAGTCAAAGTGACAAGAAAATGCTATAGAGATATACTATATTGTAGGAAAATATCATAAGGTAGAAATGTTTGGAATATTACAGAAATATGTAAAATGAAAGGCATATGTTATAGAATATGGATAAGATTTTGTATGAATACATTTTATAAAGATATGTCTTACAAGAGAAACGTGTAATATTGTATGTTTATATAGTATAAAAGTAATATGATATCGATAAAAAAGAATGGTATGAGGTTTTTTTTTTTTATATAAAACTCAAACAAGAAAGTGAAGACAACAATATGATGTTGTACTATTTTATCATTGGGATTATGTAATATTATAAAACAATGATATGTAATATTCCTTCAGTATGCTGTTTTGATATAATAGTAAAAAAAATATCGGATAAAATCACAAAAAGTGAGACTCAATTTTATCGTTGTGTTAATTAATTAAGCTTTAATGAATGTTGTAGTCATAGATTTTATCATAGTATCCTATTTGATGAAAGAGTATTTGTCTAAATTGGATATCACACAGACTTATGTAATGATGTGGAATTTCTTTGGAATGTTGATGAAACACCGGCTTGAGATGTCTGCATGCTAAGAATTGGCAAGCTGCATATTTCATATCTTCAAGCAGAATAGACAAGAAAACGAAGATTTTTTTTCCGACAAAAACATCCGCTTTATGCAATTTTCACATTATTTATCACAGTCTTAGGTATAAATCTTCTTCCATACGCAATGTTTGCAAAGGGCATATTTTCATGGTAACAAAACGAAGCAAATTTTACGAGTAGAGAATTGCCGTTCATGGTTTCATCAATTGATTGTTATAAGTCTTCGAGAAAAAAAATTGTCAGGAACCAGGATAAAGATGACATCTCGAGAATAGTGAGAAAAGTTAAAGTATTCACATTTCAGAAACACGATTTTTTGTCGCTTTTTATTCCTTTCTTGAGTGGAACCTGTCTTTGATGGAAACCTGAGAAGATAAAACAATGATTTTAGAAAAAAAAACAACAAAATTTCGACACATGAAATGAAAATAAAACTGGTTTAGATCATCCATTACATTTATGAAAGTTATGACAAGACAAAAGTTGAAATGACTATTGTAATATTTTGCAAACTCCAACCAAATAACATGTTTCCAATATAGACAGATTCCTGCGACAAACTTTCGAATTCCAGTGTAGCTGCTGAGCTTGAGCTTGTCCATGAGCTAACTTAAACAGAATAACTTCCTTATACTGCCATTGTTCATCTTAATTTTGACGTTTTAAAAAGATACAATGATATATCGAGAGAAAGTGTGAGCTATGACAGGAAATGAAGCCTTCAAAATATACAGGCGATAAGTATAAATCGCCAGTGAAACAAGGGGCAGTATATCGAAGCTGTTGTGCTGTGTAACTGCCTTAACTTTTTATATGTAAACACCTACATGAGGCATTTGTTGATGAGTGTGCCCTCATGTACCTGCTGATGCTGCAGTGTGCACTTGGCGATGTCCATCATTTCCTGTTAAGATGGCATCTATGTTATGTGCTAAATACACCATACTTGTCAGTTTGTGTTATGTGTATGTTGTTCTAACATGTTTTTCGCATTGTTAGCTTAACGTTGTATTGTATCACTACTTAATATGTATTTGTTACAGCAGTATCTCATCACTGGCAGCTGAACATAGTAAAACGTTAGTTTTTTTTACCAAAGAAAGTTCAGATTAACGTTATTCTCAGGTAAAATTCAATTGTAAGAACATACTTTGTATTGTCGGTTTTTACTTCTGTAACCATGACACTAAAAACTAGCTTAAACAGTACAGTAATATTAATAATGTAGTTTAAACGTAAACTTTCATCATCTTGACTTGATCATCACTTGTCCATGTAACCAATGAATAACATCTGGTCTAAATAAAAGATGAAAGAATTGTTATCTCTTTATAATGGCAAAGAAGGCATTGTTTCATTACGGATGAAACATGAAGGTTTAACCATCACAGAAAAAAATACCTGCATTGGTGTAGATTTATCCTATAAAAAGTACTTCTACACTTCAATAGATTTTTAATTGCTGTTAAATTCATTTGTTGATATAATCAAATTACAGTTTTATTGTTTGTAGTGTCTTTTAATGTCGTTATTGATTAGTAATGTAAAGTAATGTTGTTATGTATTAGATTTCACTATCCGCTTATTTCTCATACTATATGTATCATCTATCGTTATTTTTTTATCATTATTTACTTATACAAATGATGATACATACAATCTAATATCTGAAGTATAAACCTAACTTCTTATCCAACAGACGTGAGGTATGTTACAGTGATACCTAATATCTACACTCCTTTTTTACTTTAATGATTCATGCATCTAAAAATAGATTTTAAAGTGTGTTCCCATGATGTTATGCAATAACATTACCTTTGCACTGAAAGTATCTGTTCGCAGATTTTCAAATTATAATAAATCATTTTTGGTTTATGGTTTTCTTGGCATATGTACCATGACATCACACGTTCAGCTTCCTAAACGTGATATCTGTGAAATTGTTTGAAGTTAAAGGTAGTATAGTTGTTGAGGCCTAAAACATATGTTATAAATTAGAAAAATTCTTAAAGCGGTAACGATAATGAATCCGGAATTTAAGCAACTGTTTTTCATATAACGTTTTGTAGCACATGATAGTAATTGATTTGATCATGCCGGTCTATAATGCTTAATAGAAGTACTTTAAAACTGACAAATTCCATGATAAACGAGGACATAACATTCAGCTTCGTTAAAAAAACGATATATAATTGAAAAATTTGTAAACTCAAAGAAAAAAAAATTCTCTAGACAACTGCTAAGTATTAAGATATACACACTTTACCAAAACCAAGAGGACTTAAATCCATACTTTATATTTGTCTTTAAGTTATGAGATCTTCTAGATATTGAAACTTACAGGCGGATATCACTTTTATGATTTTATGATATATGTCAGAGTACCTCTCAAATAAAACTGGTTCTTACTTTTTCGCCTTAAAATGTAATTCAAAGTTTTGTTTATCGTGTTGCCATTCCTATATCTAAGCATTATAACCCTACAGTCGATACTTTAAATGGCATACATATTTAATAATCGCACTAGAAACATCATACTAGGTTGTCAAAGTGGAATCAACAACACTCTGAATAATTTAGATGTTTCCTTAACAGTATCATGTCTTTTCGGTTTAAGCAGTCTTAGATTCATTCTTGTGTTTAATAGTTTTTGGCCAATATTATTCTAAACAGGACTAATTTCAAGAACTTACTTGAAACTTTTTTTTCAAAATCGTAGTCTTGCCAAAACTTTTCAAATTTCAAGATTGGAATTTGAAGAACCAGCATGAATTTATATATTCATTTTATACATGTTAGTGTCTGTATGACTCATACCGCGCGCAATGCAAGCGAAAACACGTATGTACGCCAAGTTCGTATGTAAATATGGCAAAGCAGTAGTGCTGAAGTGAGGATAGGTATATATTGCCTCCTTGACTCGCCCCCTTTCTCCCTTCTGTCATGTTCCGCGCTATCTTTGATTAACATATCGAAGATGCTACTGCTGTTTGGCTTGAGAAGTTAATTGCTTGTGAGAGTCCATTACCTTCGTGGAAACAAGTTCCCGCGGTAGGATCCTCGAGATTGAGGAGAGCGATATGTGTGGAAGGTGTGTTGTATCAGTCTAAGGCCTGACTCGGTATATATAATGCAACTGGTCAGTTTTAGATCTCTATCTCTTTAATCTGCTATCAGATATACTACATATGCTTCCACAGTGAAGATGAACTATCTGATTTCATTATCTTTATGTAATATCTTTACCGTTCTTTGTACCTGTTATATCCCCCTGTTTGCTGACTAGGCAGCGACTTAGATCTTACAAATACCTCACGCAGCACAAACAAGAAAAAAACCTACAGGCCATATTTCGGATTAGTGACTTCTTGAGGCACAATCAAATGCGAGCCATATGTCTATTAGGGAAATAAACAACTGTATCAAAGTGTCGA